TCTATCAAAAGATAGAGACAGGAAACAGGTTTTATTTGAATCATTATCTCCATCTGTGATCTGTACTGTGCAGATTTCATGTTGATGCTGCACGCTCTGCTTGCTACGCTCATTTGATACATGGTCATTTTAGTGAATTGCAAACAAATGCCCCAGCCACTGTCACATTCAGTTTTAGCAAGCACAGTGAAATGATCAAGTGAATATGCCATTGTTTTACTCTGATCCATTTTAATGTACTTTAATTCATCAGGGATTCAGGAATATGTGGAAGCCGTCTCTTTCCTGCACTACATCCGCCATCGCTGCCTCATCAGCTTGGAAGAGATCAACGCCAGGCTGGTGTTCATGAACACAGAGAAGGCAGATCCTAAGGTAAAATCACAGAGGACTGACTGAACATTAACAATTTTTTAGTTAATGTTAAAGTATTTTTTAATCCCCAAAAAGTCCTTAAAAGAACTATGTGACATTCTGGAAAATAGATTTTGTCGCTTTCGTGGTATCAAACTCTGTTTGGCTCAGAGAGTGTATATAAAAATAAAACTTGGATGTAGCCACTGTAAGGTCACCGTTCGATTTGAGACTCCAAATATAGAAACTTCACCATTAATGTTTTAATGGTTTTATTTTTGGATTGTTTTTTCTTTTCTAAAGCAAGATGTGACTGTTTATTTTTTTCAGTTGTAGGGTGTCTGTTGATCCACACAATATGACTTAAATCTCATTAATTTGCATTAAAGGCATTGCATATAAAATGTTCAAATTCAGAAAATGCATATAAATAAATAAGATAATTTTGAAATTGGTGCCAGCAGCATGTCTCAGTGTCACAATTACCAGTGTGTAGCATCCCTGTTTCTTTTAACAGCTGTTTATAAACATCTGGGAACTGAGGGGATCAGCTGAACCTTTGGGAGAGGAATGGTGTCCCATTCTTGTCTGATATGGGTTCTATCTGCTCAATAGTCTTGGGTCTTTTCTCTGTTATTTTTCATTTTATGATGTTCCAGATGTTTTCAGCTGGTGAAAGATTCCAACTTCAGGAAGATCACTGCAGGAGCAGGGCTCTTCTAACTGTCTATTGAAGCCACACTGTTGTACTTGTAATACAACTGTAATTGTATTGCTGGAATATGCACGGCCTTCCCTGAAAAAGACATTGATGGGTGCCCAATGCATCCCTGTACCATCACAGATGCAGGTTTTTAAACTGAGCGTTGATAACAAGCTGAATAGTTTCTCTCTGTTCTGATTTCCCAAAAGAATTTCAAATAATAGTGTTCCTCCAGATGTTTCTTTTTAGTACACTTACTTTTTCATCCTTTTTTCCCTCTTTGTCTCAACTTTTTGAAATTTTTGCTGCCATCTAATTCAAAATGAGCTTCCCAGATTAAACATTTAGTTTTCTGTCTTCTACTATGAATGTAATATGGGGTTAAGAGATTTGCAGGTCATTGCATTCTGTTTTTGTTGACATTTTATATAAAGGCCCAGCTTTTTAGAATGTATTCTTTCCTGTCCTGTTTTCCAATTCAGGGCTCAGCTGAAGCGATGCCGGTGAACGCTCAGGTCTTGACCTTTCAGGTGACGTCGTCCGACTACCTGCTGGGCGTGGCCGACCTAACAGGGGAGCTGATGCGGATGTGCATCAGCAGCGTCGGCAATGGCGACATTGACACACCCTTCCAGCTAAGCCAGTTCCTGCGGCAGATCCACGATGGTTTCTCCTACATTGGGAACACAGGCCCGTACGAGGTGTCCAAGAAGCTGCACACGCTGCGGCAGAGCCTGGGCAAAGTAGAAGACGCGTGCTACACCCTACGCGTCCGCGGCTCGGAGATCCCCAAACACATGCTGGCAGACGTGTTCTCCAGTCGGACCACACTCATCGACCCCGAGGAAGGAGTGGTTTAATCCCGCACTGCTTCAACGACGCTCTTCTCTGTGGTCTCATTGTCTGGTTTAGTTTAGCTCCGTTTGATGTTTGTGTGCATTTTTAATGGGATTTCACTGATGTTTCTAGTGTTTTGTGACATGCTTGTTCATTTTTTATTATTACAATAACAACAGTGTTACAATAGACAATGGATTCTCTTTTGTTCGATAAAGATCTGATGACTTCAGTTGTTTTGCATGAATAAAGGTTCTGTGCCAAATATGCCACACTCCCTGAGACTTTAAGCGGCTTTGAAAATATGTGTTCATTTTATTTTCTCTCTCTCTCGCTGCCCTTCCCTCTCTCTATCACACACAGATAATCTAAGGTAGTCCCACTGGCTGTCTGTACTCTTCATTCAGTGTGGAGGAGGAACATGTGACCTTTGCACATTGCACACCCCTATTCTCCAGCAGACACACACACACACATACTCACAAACAACCCCTTGTCTCCTTCTTCTACCCTCTTTAAACACTCCGTCCCAGTGCAGTGACGTACACTTAAAGTGAGATTTGGAATGAGAGGAGGAATATTCCTGGTAGAGAACTGATATCATGCTTAACCTCATGGTGTTTGTTATTGTACGGTGACAAATGAAAATAATGATAGCATAGTCTGTTGTTGAAAATAGATGCCTTTATTCACGATAGGGCCAAAACAATTTTATTGCCAGATTTCACCTCAGAGAAAATGTTCTTTTATGATTCACATTAGTCACCTTTAGGTCTGTATACATATCACATTTTGATCACACATACATTAGAAAAAAAAAAAGACTATGACAAATTTAATTTTGTACAAAAAATGTAGGCTATTTGTAATTAAGTAATTGTTTTGTTTTGATATGAACTGGATCATTTTGATATTGTATAAGTTTGTCCCTTTTTATGACTCTGTAAGAGAGAGAGTCCAAATAATTTAGATCTGCCATCTGCTGGGCAATTTCAGAACGGTGAATACAAACAGATACATGTGCAGAAAAAATAAAGTTTTGGCCTCCTTTTACACTCCAAAGAAAAGCAATTTGTTGACGAAGGAGATGATCAGCCAACCGCGGTTAAAGAGGGGGTTAAGGGGCACTGGAAATTATAGCAGGAGATGATAAGGGGGTCTAACTCCCCATTTTCCTGTAGAAATAAACGTCCTCCTCTGCTTCACTGTGAATATATAACTATCTAAATATAAATAATACTACATGCAGTGACTGTTTGACTGCATGGGTATATTGCATGAACCTCAGTCCACTACTTACTATTCCTAACTGCTTTACTTTGTAAAACTATAACTATACCATATCACAGTGGTTCCATTACCAAACCATTAAATCTTGTGCTTAAGTGCAGCCATTATATTATTACTGGGTAACTACATCTCCTAATTTGTGCAACAGGAGACGTAGTTATCTCCTGTGTAGTTATTACATAGGAGGCCTGTGCACATTATAATCAGTGTAACGCACTTTACTTTAGCTAATTTACTTTAGCGCCCCATTTATATAAATGAATAAATAAATCCTGGAACAACCCTAATCCAGAGATTTGCTGTAACTCTACTGTCTGGAATATGGCAGACCAAAACCACTCTTAACATCTTTGTCAGTGAGAGCTATAAAACTTACAATGATTTAGACCTTTGGCTTGGAAATGACTCTCGTGGCCATGCTTAACAACTTCCTGGTTCCATACACAGGAGAAAGTCAAAAAACTGGCATGGACCTTTTTTTATTAGGAGAAAAGAATGCTATTAAATCCACATTCAGACTATTTAAATTTGATACTATATATTTGTGTATACAGTGACATAAACATGATGGATCAAATGAATATTTTGTGAATACGACTAAATCAGGAAACACGTAGTCAGCCTATGGTTGTGGTTATGTATGAAATCAAAGTTGGATGAAAACGTGTATTTCTCAAGGTTTGATGTAAAAGTGAAAACGTGCACACATACTTTTGGGAAATGTAAAGAAAAAAGTTATTTCTTAACTTTCTATAGCGGATAAACTAATATATCTGTGTGAAGTCTGACATCTGCTGGTCAAAGTCAGCAACACAGCTACAGCACTGTGAAAAATGCATGTGATGGATGCACTGAATGCATAGCTGATGAAGGGAAAGAGCAAGCTAAACCTAACAGAGCAGGAGCTAATGTGTTATTAGTCAACAGCTACGTGTTTATCCTTTGATTAAGTCATCTTTTATCCTTGCAGTCACTCTTTTCCTGATTGCTTAATTATTTCATAAAAGCCCTCATATATCAATACATAAGACAGATGTGATTACATCATTCTTATACATTTCATCTGCTCCCTTATAGACACCGTGTGTAATTTTAGCATCTTCTTTCTGGGTTTTTCGCATAATATGGTGTTTCTTATGTCTTAAAACTTATGGCACAGAGGTAAGCCAAAAACTAAAACTTGACAACTAAGCTAAAACTTGAGAGGTTAGTCAAAGGGCTTCTCCTGGAAACTAGCCAGCCTGTGGGGCAGTGCGCTGATGTCAAAAACGCATCTCCAATGCGCCTCTAATCTTTAACAAAGAGCAGGTGATGGCACTCTGCATGCCAGGCAACGTGTTTCATCCCTGCTCTTACCCTAGCTATGTGTAAATACGTCCTGCATTCTGTCTGTTGAACAGAGCTTTTTGTCTCTGAGTATTGTTCACGAGCCAGGCGAGCTGAATGAAAGGAGCACTGGGATGAGTGGTGTGTGAAGGGGTGGATGAAAAGACTGCGCCATGTGAGGTCTAGGGTTTGGTGCTACTCGCTGATTCCCTGAGTGCCGAAAGAAAGAGACACATTAAGATGTGTAAGGGAGTACAGACCTGCTACACTGTGATTTAAATGACTGAATCACACGCATCCTGTGTGTATACATTTGAACTTCGTGGTATTTGTGACTTAATAGTAGAGAGATGGTATTTTCCCCCATAAATTTCCTCCACAAGCTTCAGTGACACTAAAATACAGCACATATAAACATAAACAACTGCGTTGTTTAATCCGGTTCCGTGTCCGCTGCTACTTCCACAGTGTGCCCGCTGTGGATATGAGGCGGTCTGAAGGAGTTTGGAGTCAAATTCCTGAACACGTAGGAGCTCCAACGCGACGCATGACGCAAGGGCGCAGCGACTAACGGATTACTGATCAACTGATCGATGTGTCGACTAACAGACGGATTTTCCTGGGCTATGTACTTCTGCCACTGCACACCACCGCTGGATGTGTTTTCCATACTTTCCCCACAAGGAACAGCACGACGTGAAGTCTTTCTCCAGACCGTCAGTTCAGGCGCAGCGGGACCCACTTGTTTCCAACAGGGGGAGAAATGTAAGAATCTGATGTACCATAAATGTTTGTGTCAAGAGATTTTCATCAGGGACAAAACAGCGCGCTGGGAAGCAGTTTTCACCCGTCACTCACTGTGTGCAGGGAAAATATAGCAGCCCGGGTTCACTTTTCCATAACGGAAATGAGATCAGTCCCTTTGCTTGGCTTCACTTCTTCTAAAACATGGTCGATGTAACTCTATGCAGGCTTGTGCCACCGGGGTCTGACTTTCTTTGACTTTTCAACACAAACAGCCTTTTTTAATGGAAAAATGTTCGCTGGACTGATGGGACTGGAATGCCACGGCAACTCTCTGCTTCACTGCCGCGAAACCATTCAAGGTAAAACAAGGTTTTTAACTATCCGCTGATGTTCTCACACCGACCCTGGTCTTTTACAGGATATGTATACACCCCCAGGAACTTCATCCAACTTTAATACACCGAAATTGGATAAAATAGTAGTATTAGGATGTACTAAGCCGGCAGTTTTTAGGGAGGGATAGTCATCAGATGATTAAACAAAAGCAGAGCAGCCGCAGTGAAGACTCAGCCTGTTTAATAATGCATTGCCTGGAATGTGTATGAAAGTTCACAGTTCCCTGGATCATAAAGGTTTAAAGTCTCCCTACCAGTCATTCATGGAGGAGTGATGATGAGTTGGAAATGATTAAATACTTAAATAATATGTTCCCCACCTCTTTAGACAAAGTAGAGAAGCATTTTCCTGCGTATTGTCTCTATTTGGGTCTTTTAACATGTTTTATACAAATAAAATGAGCTTGACTAATAAATAGAAATGTGATCCAAGTCTGTTCACGCAGGATGCCGGTAATCAGACCTCCATTAGACCCATTTATCAGACTGTTATGATCTCGCCACATGCAACAGGGTAACTACTGCAGTTAAAAGGCTGCTAGATGTGGTAAACCTTAGATAAAAATCTATTTCCCAAAGTGCTTCCGAAACAGCTTCTGCTGTGAGTAGATTTTTCCCTGGTCTCTGTTGTGTGACATTTTTGAATGAATCTAATCTACCAGAAATATCAAAATGCCTATTAAAGAGTATGTGCAGTGTGTAAATGAATCTCTATAACACAGACTCAACTGATCCTCATGTGATTACAGTCTGACAAGAGCATAGCAGAGACGCAATCCTTGGAATATCCCCATCCTTTAACCTACTGTGCAAAATGGAGCGATAAGGACCAAGATTTAGGACCAAAGATAGGAACTGGCATTGGAGCATACTGTATTGTTGGGTTTTCATCCACTTATGTAGTCATTTCTTTAGTAAGATGAATAGATATCACTGCTAACTTTCACTTCCCCTTTTTGTGACGCTCTCTTTGGTCACAAGTGGCGAGGTTTTGCACATCTGCCGAGCAGTGCTGCTTCTCAGGAGGTTGCTGACATGCAGATCCGCTTGTGTGCGTTGTGTGTCTGTGTGTGTGTCAGAGGGTGCTGAGCTTGTTCCTCAAATGTTTGTGTTTTTATGAGAGCCCCTGCATTCCTCTCTGTCTTTGGCTCAAGCACTTTCAGTGCCCAATTGGATGCAGTGTTTAACCTAAGGGTGCTGAGGAGGGCCTCTTTAATCTCCAAAGGTAAATAATCTCGCCTCTTCTGGCTGACATGCTTCTTTTTCTCAGGCTCTCTGTACAGTTTCTTCAGCACTGATAACATGCTGCAGTGACAATGCTGTTGCAGAGAGACTGTTTTATCTTTGGTGTTGAACCACTCAACGTCACTGCTTGCTTGTTTGTATATTCTGCCTGAATTCCCGGTGAACTATTTTAGCCCAAAGCCCGACAGGAAGTAGAAAAAACCTCTGAGGGGCTTCAGCCAAAAAATAGATGCCCCTCTGACATACACACAAGCCAGCAGACACAAAACAATGGGCCCTGAGGCATTTCCTTCCCCTTAAACCAGGAAGAGCTCTCTTTGTGTAATCGAAGTATGGCGAGGATACAGTAACACCATCATGTCCCTCTTCTTTCGACTCTTAGTTGTTGTAGAGGCCTTAGTATAACATCTAGCCACACCAGATGGTAGACAGTGTGCGGTTGTAGCTGTAACCTACAGATGGTGTTGGGTTTCTAACATCAGTTATGGACCAGTGGCCACGTCTGCAAGGACCCTCTAATGGACCTGTGTGTAACCCAAGCTCTAAGTGACACTGCACACACACAAAAACACTGTGGCTACAATGGGAGCATCCGTGTGTTACTTTCACTTGAAATACTGCTCTCACTGGTGTCTATTTGAGTCTCTTACAGTCTCATGGGATAGTTTAGGAGTGGCATCGTAGGAGGTTACTGGGTGTTGGGAAGTGGGCTGTGGTTTGCTCATCGGTCATGCTTTCTTCAATGCCCCGCATTCCTGTCTTGATAATTGTGCTCCCACTGCAAAAAACACATTATTTGTAGAGGTTTACAGTTGCGTAAGATGTTGTTTTTATGTGTTTGTTTGCGTTTTCTACTTTTGGATTTGTTTTTTATCGTAGTTAAAGCGTTTAACAGGCTTTTACACTGACAATAGTACAACTGATCCCAGTGTTTTCAGCACTGTCTGTGTGCCTCTGTGTGACTTCAGTGTTCGCGAGTGGGAGGAGAAAGCGAGAGCCAGAAGTGAAAGAAGGAGCAGCGCAGCTGTACACAAAGGGGCTGTTGATCCCCAGCATTTGAGCGCGCCTCCTCGTCTGAATCCTAAACATGATATGTATTAATCACGTGGCCCTGCAGCAGGTGTCTAACTCCCGCCACAATCTGGCCTTTATCATTACGCTCCACTTTCAGACCAAACGCTGTTTGCATGCATGTTTGTATCACTTCTTGTTACTAAGATTGGCAGTGTCTGTGCTTCACAAGCTATTTCGGTTATGCGCCATTTACAAAAAACATGGCTTTCGTAATAACTGAAAAGCTTTGAGACAAGCTATGAGTGCAGTGCAAGTGGGTTTGATAAAGCGAGGGTAATCAGTATTGTTCTAAACAATCCCTCAGTTTATTGCTTTGACTGGAAGACTCACAGGTTATAGCACCCACTCAGAAATAGATCTCAGGTAAACTTTATCAGCCTTACTGCTTTAAGAAAAAGAGAGAAGCTGAGTGGTTATAAAAACAATAGCGTCATCAGTGCTGGTTTGTTAGTGGACCAACATGAATCAGACCTTGCCTGTGTGCCCTTTGCCCTATATTTCAGTGAAATAGACCGATTTAAGGCTCCAGATCCAGGCGTGAACCCCCTGCTATGTTTTGAGAACCTTTCCTCTGAAGAATTTTGCTATTTGCAAAAATAAACAAATGCAAATCTAACCTCAGAATATATTGTTCATGCATCTGGTATCCCACAGAGAGGCATGTCTTAACTTATAAATGACTGTGCAGCTTTGGTATTTCACAACAGCTGGAGCAGAACCCTGGGAAATGTCACACATCTGCCCAACGTTTAAAAAAAAAAAAAAAATTCAGTCCATTAGGCACTATCTTTAAAAACAAGGTCATTTTGCTGGATCACAGCTGCTTCGGGTACTTGTGTAATTAGTACACGTAGCATTACATCTTCCTGCTCTAGCCCATGGTTAATCCTACCAGTTCTATGAGGTCATGCGTTATCTTCCTCATGGCCATGTTGTCAAGCTTAATGGTTAATCTCTGCATCGACAGGTGGCAGAGCATCAGGGACAGCTGGCAGCTCCAGCCGTAAGAGGCTCCACCGAAGACCAGGGTACATGAGAGGAGAGCAGTGCAGACTGCAGAGCGCCACTCAGGAAGAGGAGGAGGACGTCGGGACAACCACTTTTATTACCAATGGAAAATCAGGACGTGACGCTGACATAGCTGATGCAACTAATGATCAAAGGCCAAGTCCAGCTCCTGCAGACAGTGTGTCTTTAATAAATCATCAACAGCCTGATAAACACACGTGTAGCTCCTGGAAGACTCAGAGCTTTGTCTGCTCTGTTACCCACCCTCCTTCCCCTGTGGACTGCAATTCTAAGAGTACATCCAGCCATCTGGGCCAGTCCTCACTGCCCAACAATGAACTCAGGTTAAGTTCGAGCCTGGACACTCGTTCAGAGCCAGAGGACTCTTTTAACTCCAGCTTCAGTTTCATCCAACAGTCTCTTACCTCCAGCCAGAAAACAACCACCACACCCACACAAGAGCAAGAATTAAGTTCATCAACAAAAGCATCTGACCTGCCTCAAACAAAACCCGAAACCTTACCTGTCGAGCACAATTTCTCTAAGCAGTCGTCTCCTGCTCAAACACTACCTGGAGGAAAGTTTTGGCGAGAATGCCTGTTTGCCACCCACGTAGAAAGATCCCACGTGCCTGACTGTGAGGCTCAGTCTATTGATATAGAGGCCACCTCCTCACTCTCCCTGGACTCGGACAGTACCTCTGCCTCCTCTGTCACCTCAGGCTACGAGAGCGCTACACCTGCCTTGGAGCAAGGCTGGGATAACCTGCTGAAGAAGTACGAGGGCGTGCTGCAAGACTGCCTCCAAAACAACCGCACTCACACCAAGGTGGGCAAGACAGACTCATGAAATTCACATATCAGTCATTCAAATTAATCTCCCAACAAGGTCTAGAGCAGCGACGTCAAACTCATCTAACACTATGGGCCACATACAGCCCACTTTGATTTTAAGTGTGACGAACTAGTGAAACTCCACTTTCTGTTTAGTAAAGTTTAACTAAACAATTTTCCCAAGAAGAAATTTCAACAGTATGTCTGTTCTATATGATAAATATGTAAAATAACAGAAAAAGTTCTGGCACCCCTCACTTTCCTATATTTATAATAATGTTCTTTTATTTCTATAGTAGAAATTTCTATGATGGACATAGTCGATACAGGAACTTCTCTGTCATTGAATTGTTTTTCTGTTATTTTTGACTATTTGGTGTAGTATAGATTGCAATGGGGGGTGGTGTTTGTCAATGGAAAAAGCTGTATATCCTAGGAAAATACAGTTAAAAGTTCAAAATCTATTCACTCCTTCACATTTTCCAAATTCTTCCAGTGGGCCAGATTGGAGTTTTTGCCGGGCCTTAGGTTTGACACCTTGGTCTACAGTCAAGATGAGACTAAACTACAGAGAGATGAATACTATATTAAATCAGGAAACCCGTATTTGCTTTCCTTAGTAGTTCCAGCTCATACCTTGATGGTAGATATGAAGCTACAGCCAGCAGCTGTTAGCCTTGTTTTGTTAACAAAATTCACCCAAGAGTTGAGTAACTCTGAAACTCACTAATCATCTCTTTATCCTATACTAAGTATCAGAACTAAGTTGCACTTTAAGACCTGGTCATGTATCGTGTTTGTTTGTTTACACTTGTTTTAGATGTTCAAGCTAACCAGCTAGCTTTTTCTAATAGCAGAACATTGAGTGATGCTGTATTGATGCTTTCTTGTTTTATTAAGAAAGACAAAAGCAAGCAGGTTTAGATTTTTCTGAAAGAGAAAACTAAGTATTCAACTCACCTACTTAACCAAACGTTTGGTTAACACTTTGTAATACTGCACGTGAGTAAGGACATAATTCCCCTGAAATTAAATGAAATTTAAATATAGTTTATTTGAAAATACAAAGTAATTAAATTTACAAGGAAATACTTAAAGATAGGTACACTAGAATAAGGGAATAACTGCAGGTATTTTATAGAAAAGAAGACAAATTATTCTGTAATTAATATTAAGTACTACCTAAGTACTTTTAATTAGTGTATAATTCATGCATTTTGCAAGAAATGAGAAATAATTGCCTTGTGAGTATTTTACAGAAAAGCAAACAATATATATTTTTTTATCTTACATTCTAAGCTTGAAAGTGATAAAAATGACCCCATATTTCATCTGATAAAAACATTTTTCAGTATTTGCTTTAGTGTTTTACATCTGATAGAATCTTTCAGGTCCTCCTCAAAAAAAGTAAAACGGTGAAGTACTGTAGTCAAGTTATTGTTAACGCCCTTTCCTCAGCTTGCTGACACAGTATCACTTTGACCTGGCAGTCATTGCACCCACCTTTTTTCTGCATATATTGACTGTTTAAAAGGCGATGAACTCTGGAGTTACTGTTGTGTAACCTGTACTGTCTTTTTGCTGTCTCTCAGATTGAATCCATGATGTTGAAGCTGCAGAGGCTCCAGCAGAAAGCAATTCTGGACGACGATTATGACGCAGGTAAACCAGTTTAGCCATTTCGGTTAAGGTTACAAAATAACGACTTTATGAATGATTTGATAAGATTCTATTTATCTTTTTACTATTTGTTTTTAAAAAGTAAAGTTTAATATCCCTAAACACAATAACTTAAAGTTAGAGAAAAGAGCACAGTTCAAAGTGAAAATATTCTGACTCAGTGACCAGAAAGCCACAGGAGCTTAACACGTGCTGTCCTTCTAACTCATGAGTGTGCTTGCACTCACATGTTTGGATCATTTATCACTTTGATGTCAGCTTCTTTATTAAATTTCTTGCTAATTTGCTGTTCACCATACTGAGATGACCTGTGTGAAAGAACATGTGAGAGATAAGGCACAGAGCTTTTTAGTGCTGACTGTACATCAGTAAGCTCTTTCCATGGTTGACTTACCTTTATTTTTATTTTTTTTAACTATCCTATAATGGTAAAACTAGAAAATCTTCAATTTATGTGGCTTAAAACAGAAAGTAGCACAGTTATTATGTCGACTCAAATCAAAATAAAGGGTATTTACAGAGAAATAAGGGAAGCTTTTACAGAAAAGTTTACAGGAAGGGGTTCCCCGTGATTATTGCAACGAAACAACAAAGCCTCAAACCTAACAAATATCATTTGTACTTGTACCTGACCTAGATATTGTAAAAAAATATAAACAATCAAACCAAAAACTGCATTTTAACCCATTTCTTTTATTTTGTGATAGAACAAATACATAAGATACATCTGCTTCTGTGGTTAACACATTTGCATTACACACAGAAGATCCCTGGTTTGATATCAGGAGACAGAAATCACTGGGAGGGTTTTGTCAGGAAAGGCATCCAGCCTAAAAACCCACCATATTAAAACCATGTGTGTCTATCTGCACGTGGTGACCCCTGTGAATAAGGGAGCAGCTTAAAAACCGGTTTAAATACACATGTTTCTGTATCCTGTAGATCTGTTCGAACGTGCTTATTATTTGGGTCAGTGTTGTATGCCTTGGCTGGTGTTCTCCTCGTCTATTCATTCTCTGACTTATACGTTTAGTTTTCTGTTTTTCCACTTGCACAGTGTTGGATTAAATAGCTGATGAGATTGGTTCTGTAAATTCTGTCTGTGTATGTCGTGCTTGCCATCTTTTAATTTAGCTATGAACCCGCCAGACTGGGATAATTCTAGTTTTAGGGTCATATGTGTTTACAGAGCCAAGAAATGCAGATTTTTATTCAGGATTCATAAATACAGCAAGGTCAGAAATGTGCTCCCTTTAAATGACTTCTAGTAAAGGGCTAGAACACAACACCACTTGCTGATAACTGGACTCCTCTAGCTGATGTTTTCTGCATGTTATTCAGCATGTGTGTATGTGTGTTCACAGCTGAGCGCTTTGGGAAAAAGTTAGAGGAGCTGTCTAAAGAACGAAGCACTCTGAAGCTGGGTTTACCCTCCCAACAGCCCAGCGTGGCGTTGCTCCTGGAGAGGCTCCGACAGGCGGTGGACAGCGCCCTCCAGAGGGCAGACTGCAGTCAGTACAGGTCAGTGCTGGTTTGATCATGTTAACTGAAACACTATATTTAAAACGTTAACTGCATACAATATATAAGGGGAATATAATATGAAATGTGGTTACACTGAAAATTACTTTTCCTGTTTTGTTTAGGACCTCGTTTTATATTGTGTGTCACTTAAACAAAAACAGATCTACTTTTATAGCAATAAACTCCCTTTGTTCAGGACATAATGGGGTTTATTTGAGTTCATAAGCTCATTCTCTCTCTTTTGTTGCAATATTGTAGCACAGATCAAAGAGGGGGAGCTCTCCAAAATAGCTCTTGTGACAGGAAGGAAATCAGGTGGGGCCTCTTCAGAGAGTATCCCGAACAAATATAAGCAAAAGGATTTTAGGTCACCTCTGATAAACAGCAGATTTTCCACTGTCACAGAGGTATTTGATGAGAATCTGTGGGAAAAAGTGATTACACACAACCATACTGTATATTACCCATCTGCAGCTCTCTTTAGCTTTGACTTACAGAGATTAAAAGCAACATTAAATGTGGATTAACCTCCTGAAAATGTTAATCAGAGCTGTTAAAAATGGTGTCATTTTGTGGCAGGGAGTGTGCAGAGCCTGTTGCAGGGGAGCAATCCGACTCATCACAGGGTCCACTGCAACGAAGAGAACGTCTGATACGAGAGAGACGGCTTGTCGAGGTAAATTCGGCTCATGTCGTTCCGCTTTGTACGTCAGGCTGGTCTGAGTTACTGCTCCTCTGAGAATTTAATAAAACAGCTTCTTTCCTTGCTCACAAAAGTGAATGAAATTTGTAAAATATGCATAGCTGTCAGCAGTATTTACACTGACAGTGAATGAGTGTGAACAAGATTAATTAATCTCACTGCTACTTTAATATCAAACAAACTATTGATTAACAATTCTGAAAAAAGCTAATAACTCACCAGTCAAGTTTCCTTCAGTTTCAGATTAGGTATTTGAATTTTTCATTCAATCTGCTGGCTTAAAAAACTGAAGGACTACTTCACTGTTGCTGATTACCTTCATAGAAACTATGTTATTTCTAACATACATGTAAAATGAATGAAATGAACATTGCTCCACCTCTGCAGGAGGAGATCGCAGAGCTGCAGCAGAGACTGGTGGAGCTGAAGGACCGTAGCCGGTGTCTGGAGCAGCAGATCCAGCAGGAAGAGCAACAGGTGGAGGCTGAGGAGCTGGAGGCCTCCGTGCTGAGGAGCTGCAGCACGGCTCAGCTTCGCGACATGAGCCGAACCCTCCAGGACCTCGTCGCTTCTGAAAATCGCACACAAATCTCAGTCTCTCGTCCTCCCTCCATGCTCAGGTCAGCGCCATATATGTGATGATTTGCTTGCTTAAATGTCACATTTGTGATATGAAAGGCTGTGTTTGCATGAGCCGAAAAAAAGGAAGTGGAAAAAGTGCAAGTGGAAAAATAGAGAACTAAACAGTTGTGTCTTTTTGAGCATAGTTAATAATAATGCTTTCATCTTGTTTGAGTGGTTGCATGAAATAATTAAAAATTTAGAGCCTCCTTTAGCCTCCTTTACAAAGCTGCAGGTAATGAATGAATGAAACATGCTGTTCCCAGGAACAGAAATTTACAAATGAGGATAAAATTATTATTATTTATTATATATGCGCAATGACATGCTTTAACTCTGTATTCCTCAAAGCTTACAAAAACCAAGAGTTATCCTCCAATTTACACACAGTATATAAATCTTCTCTGCCTCTAAAAAAGCACTGAGAAAGACTGGAACGAGAACTAGTCGGAGATGAGTCTAAAGAGCCCAGAACAACTGCCACGCTGAAATGTGCTAAGAACAACCTGGGGAACGATTGTTCATACTGGAAGTGCATCATTTGGTGAGATGAGATGAAACTAGAGCTCTTTGGTCACAGACAGAAGGGAGAGGCGTATAACCCAAACAGCACCGCCCCCACAGTGAAGCACAGTGGTGGGAGTGTTATGATGTGGGGATGATTCAACGTTTCTGGAACTGTAATCTCCTCAAAAACACTTCACTAGTAATTCTGTCCTCATCTGTATTTAGGGAAAAACTTCAAACGAGGGAATCAAAGCCTTCACTGCAGATCTTTGGATGTATTAAAGGCGTTTTGCTCTCCAGGATCTGCTTCTGCTAGCGAGCAGAATAGTTAAGAAAATGTGCAAATGTATGTGAAAAATGGAAATTGAGGTCTTGAGCATTGAGAAAACATTTTCACACCTTTTGAATTTTGCACGTCGGTATTACAGTTTCTCCTGTCGGTCGTTGGACTCTCAGTTTGATTGGTCGAGCCGGATCTAACACCTAAACTGTGAAAAGTGTCCGCTGATTGGGCCTTTACATGCATAACCTTTACTCAGAACTAGTTTGAAGGTAACATAATTTGTGTTGTTGTGTTAATTTGATGTATTTCTACTTACATATTTATATACAATAGAGGAATCGGCACAGTGTATGTCAGGAATGAGGAAAACAAGCCCTGAAGCTGACAAATTGCCAAACATCACAGCATCCTCCATGACAGCTATTTGTTTATCCACTTTATGATGGTTTCCTCCTCTGACAGCAGGAGGACTGGAGTTTTAAACATAATTCTTTACTGTAAATGTAGTAGAAGTATTTTTGTTACCTGATGCCAGCTTAATAGACAGGTAACGTTTATCCAGTGCAGTCAAAAGGTTTTGTATTCTTTCATTTTTCATAAAAACTCCAGGAGGTGCATCTCCTTATTTAATCTTACTCAAAATGTGCAGTAGAAGCCAGATTTGTATTTAATATTACTTTGATAAAAATATGAAAATATCAATTAATTTGGGCAAAATTAGCCACAGTAATGATAATTTAACCTTGTGCAAGATCTTGGTGTGGTTACTATGCATAAAGCATTTGTTTAGTACAAGTCTGTCAGATGTGCTCACTTCTTATGCAGTGGTCAGTATTTGTATTTGTGCAATACCTGGAACGGCCAGGTGGGGCTGCTATAGAGCTGCAAATGCTGGTGACCATGCAACAGTCTGTCCATAGGGTTTTTTTCTCTTTCCTCATGTTACATACATTTAATTAGCCCATTTTGAAGTTGATGTGTCAGTGGTGATCTGCTGTTTCTAAGTCATCGCCTCTCAGCTTCATCCATCCTTAGACAAAGTGGCACTTTGAATAAATCTTTCAGCAGAATTGTCAAAATCACACCATCACGTTTCAACCAAATCAACACCTCCAGTAACAGCACAGAAGACACCTAGCCTTGCATTTACACGAATCATTACCCTTTTTATCAGCTTACAGGCAAAATTGCTCACTTTGTTCGGTGATCGACAGGTCTGCCCATGCAGCACTGGATGCCTATTGTTCCTGGAGAGGTTCAGCTCATGTATTTCAGGTCTTTATAAACAAAAGCCACTGAAAAATGGATGTAATGTAAAGCAGTTTGCAGCCCTTTAGGAGTAACTTGTTTCTTAGATTCAGAGAGCACAGCTAGTTTCTTATCCCACGTGCCTTCAGTCTTCTTCTCTCACACCTGCTTGAACCTGCTTTGAATTTTAATGGCTTTTTTCTTAGATGCTAACGATCACTTTGCATCATATCCTCTGAAGTTAATAGCTTGCAAGGGAGCACTGTGGAAAGCCTCTCCGTCTTGCCACTCGTTAGAAAGACATGTAAATTGTACTTATCGCCTTCTTGGCGGTGTGACCCACCACCACTGGCATAATTTGATATCTGGCTTATTCTCACCCCGGCTGAAACGCATTTATTCTCGTTGCTGATTGAAATTGCGACCTCAGATTGGATATTCAGCTGCACATCTGTGGGTGGCTTGCCACGGGTCACCGTGATGATTGTGTTTCAGTCGCCCCTTTTCCAAACAACACAGGATATTTCTGTCTCGTATCAGTTTTTTTTTCCACACGAATACTGAATTAAAGAAATCCACTCGGTGCTATAAGGCTGATGTTCAGAGACAACATTTAACTCTGACTCACTCTGAGCATCAGCTTGAATAACATGGAGTGGACATAATGATTTTTGTGAGACAATTGGGACTGTCTCAAGGTGACTGTACTGTGCATAATGGATTTTATGCTCATTTTTCTCCATCTTGTAATTGATTTAGATCTGTCACCAAGTAGTGTGACCTTAATGGGTTGTCCTGTTTTCCCTTATTGTCTGAAATATTGGGCTAGAGTTGAATCCAACAGGCCAGTTAAAGAAAACACAAATATTGAGCCATATTTTATAATGGAAGGTGTTTTTCAGGTTCAGTCGTCTCTTTATTTTGATGTAGTTTATTTCAGGTCAGTATTCCAAAAAGGGGCGCACTCGCTCACAGCGTTTCTCTTTCTTACGCTAAAGTAAGCCACCCAGATGCAGGCTCAAGCTTCACTGGTTACAGCATTTGATTCCAAATGCAAAATTTAAAGCTCGTGTCCTCACAATGCAGGTCTCTTATGCTCGTGTTTGCACACAGTATCAGCTTATATGTATTTTTTTACAACCTAAGATGAACAGTGTGCAAAGAACTTACTCTGTATGGAGATACCCGCAAGTCTTTTATCTTCTGTATGCCAAGATGTTTAAGAAGCTAAGAGAGGTAAGAAAGTCTTAAGCTAACCCACATGAACTTGAAAATTGGTGGTGATGGTATGGCCTGAGCTCTTAGGAAGACATTCTTGTAATTTCTTTAAGTAGTCTTCAATAAAGTTCTCCAAGCTTCTTTAAGGACTACTTTGGATCTTGGCTGCCTTTTTGTTTTGTTTTTTGTAAAGATGATCCCACAACTCTTCATTAATGTTGAGGTCTGGGCTACAGGGAGGCCAATCCATGACTGATAGTGTTCCACTGTGTGTTTCTCTATCTAGGTATGTTTTTATTGCACTGGCGGTGCGTTTGGGATGATTGTCATGCTGAAAAATGAAGCTGTTGCCAATCAGACGCTTTCCAGATTACATGGCCAATCAAAATCTGATGGTACTTTCCTGCGTTTATAACTCCATTCCCATCACCACTGGCTGAAATGTGGCCATACACCATGACGGAGCCTCCACTGTGTTTTACAGCTGGCTTTAGACACTCACTGTTGTACTTCTCTCCTCACCTCCTTCGTATATGCTGATGAAGACCTTTTGCCAATGAAACTTTCTTCTTTAACTATCTAGATCAACAGTTATATGTTTGCCACATCTTGCTTTCTCTTTAACTTGTCAAGGTTTTTAAGGACACTGCACACTATGTCTGCACACTAAGTTTTTGGCTAAAAGTTCTTTGTAAGTCACCTTGTTGGTGCAACTATTCAACTAAACAAATGTGAACAAATGATGCGTTTTCATGACAGGCTGCTATGTTATCATATGTGTAGAGTACAACACTGGTTCAGACCTTAAATTAGATTTATTTTTTTGTCCGTGAATGATTCATAAGTCAGTTTTAAGTGGCTTAACAAATAAAAAGCTGTTCCTCTGAGAGTGGTCAGGTAAAAGGACTGGATAAAATGATAAAAATATGGCCAATGTCTAAAGAAAGACCTTGAAAGACCTTTAGACAGCCAGGAGAACGATTCCTCAAGAGCACGTTAAAAGACTGCAATCTAGATAATTAGCTGCAAAATATAAAGAAATGTCTCACTTTTGTGCATGGCTGAACTGGTCGTTGAATATTTGCTCCCATCCACTGGACAAACACTCTCAAGACTGTCCTTTAAAAAGTTATCCAAGGTTCAGTTTGATAGTTGTTAGTTTGCAAACCGTTAAGCGATTAGCTGCCAGACGAGTAGAAGCTAAAAAAAATAAATAAATACAAAAATCTAGATTGGAACAGGAGATATCATATTGATAACTCCCGATTTCATCCCCAAAATGGAAAAAATTACCTTTAGTCCTGCACTGTGACATTTATGTTTTTATTTTGCAGACTCCAGGAGCAGGAGCAGGCATTAAATCTGTCCATTAAGGAAGCCACTGCTAAGGTAAGCCACTGTTCCGCTGACTTGATTTATTCTATATCATCTCATTCTCTTCTCAGCATGTCGACGATGACTGAATGTGTGTGAATATCTAATAAGCAGTAAGTCAAAATACACATTATGTGTCTTGTGCGAGCTTTGGTGTTTTTAATATATGTACTAAATGTCAGTGTCTGCATTCATGAGCTTGTTTCTCTTTGACAAGGCAGTAAACTCTCCAGTTTTTTTGCAAGAGTCACAGGAGTTGTCATTTTGAATAAATCCTCCCTAAATTCTAAATCATCCGTAAAATTATTACAACACCTGATGATGAAAAAGCTGTCCGATTTGCTTAAATGCCCACTTTTAAAATCAACTAAATGAGTAAAACATGGCTAACGTAGTGATTTGAAGCCCGTGTCCGTTGTTTGTGTGTATACCTGGGTTTGCATGCTGCTGTGTAACTAGAATTCACTCATGCTTATCAAGGGTTTGCTTCTCCTTTGTGCTTCCTGCACAAAGGAGGCACAAAGCTGCACACGGTGTAATCAGAAGACCATAAGAAGCAAAAACTTGATTTGGATGTAGCAGCGGATCCTGTTAATGTTGAGATTTTGCACCACTTCTGTGCTGCTACTGCATTTAGATCTCTCTTGCACATATGCATCAGTACAGACGCTAAATGTGCCGTGAGTGCGGTCAGTGTCTGTCTCAAACTGACCTGAATTTTTCATGTCAAAGATGGTCACTGGTGATGAGAACTGAGTCAAATAGTCTCGGGTATGACTTTCAACATGGAGTTCATGTTGTTCAACTGTAAAATCCTGAGGCATCTGCAGGAGTACATGTAGAGCAAACAACGTCAGCTTTAGTGTGTTTCAGTGTACCACACTGGGTTCTAAAAACTCTAATCCCCACATCTGTTTACCTGCAATGTCTCTCCTCTTCCCCAAAAAGCAATTCATCATTTGGGGCTGCTTGGCAGTGCGTGTTGTCAGATTGACACTTTTAGGGTGAGATCCAAACCATGAGCTCATCTATACCTTGCTAGTACTGGATGATGTTGGACATCCATTAGCCTTTATTCTTTGTAGCACAGATTCAACAAGCTGCTGGAAACATTTCTCTGAGATTTTGGTCCATATCGACATGACGGCATCAAACAGTTGCTGCAGATTTGTCGGCTGCACATCCACGATGTGATTCTCATGTTCCGCCACAACCCAGAAGTGCCCTACTGGATTGAGCTCTGGTGACTGTGGAGGGCATTGAGTACAGAGAACTCACTGCCATGTCCACGAAACCAGTTTAAGATGATGTGATCTTTGTCACATATGTTATTCTGCTGGAAGCAACCATTAGAAGATGGACACACTGGTTATAAAAAGGTGAGCGTAGTCAGCAACAGTACATGCTCAGTTGGTAATAAGGGGACCAATCTGGGCTAAGAAAATATCCTCCATATTATTACACTTCACAACATCGCTTTCCTGTTCTTAGCTGACCATTTCGTTCACCCAGTGTGGTCTTCTGCTGTTTTTGCCCATATGCTTCAAGGTGAATGTGTTGTGTTCAGAGAGGCTCTTCTGTATACCTTTCTTTGTGATGAGTGGTTATCTAAGCTATTGTTGTCATCCTCTGTACTTTGGCATATTCATTCAGACATATGCTGCTTACTAGTTATTTTCTTTTTTTCAGATATTTTTATCCAGAAACTAGATGCATGGAATAAGGAGAGAGAAGTTAGCTTACAGAGTTAGCTCTGTAAAGCTACTGTCACTGAGTCTTTCAGAAAGCCATCATCAAATCACTGATTGATGTTGCCGCTGCACCTGAAAGAAATGTTGTGGGTTTCTACCCAGATATACATTTACCATCATCACAAAGTGCCCATTGTTAAGCTAAAATGAGAAGTTTGGTTCCAAGATGATATATTCACCAAGTGGAAAATTGCTCACCTGCTGTGACAAAATGATTGCTGACATGAAAGTAACTTTCGCTTTCTCCGCTGACTTTTTTGAAATTGACAAATAGCCTGATGTTTTGAAATTAAATCAGCGATGTCAGAATTTCTACAGTTTGAAAAAGCACTCAAAAAATATTTTCACTTCATGTAATGCATGAAATAAAATTATACAAGCCTGTTTGGAAAAAAAAAATCCGCTTTCTACATTTCTGTGCGGAGAAAACTCTCCGGGGATGTTCTGCCTCGGAAATAACAGTCTATTTGACTGCCTTTTCAAAGTGTTGCGCATAACTGTGTCAGATTTAAGGAAAACATGCGTCAGAAAATCTGGATCCAAATCTCTTTGAGCAGTGAAAATAAAGAAAAACAGTTCCTAAAAAGAAGGAAGCGGATTGTGGGGATTGTAGCTGTGGTTCAAAGTGTATACAATGGAAATAACAGAGGTTTAAAGGACAGGGTGAGGGCAGATGAGGGCCAGACGGGCTGATGGAGACCATCAGCTCCTTTGTGAATACTCAGGGCTGAGGTGCCGCATCCCCATCAGGCTGTGACATTCAGGGGCCTTTTCCTCTCTGACTTTCTAATGATATCTTTTATGAGGATTTCACATTTTCCAGTCTGCCCATGTGAAAGGAGAAGCACTCTCTTTCTTTCTAAAGGTTATAGACAAAGGTAACACATCGGCGTTGATGCTCTGCTGTGTATTCAAAGCAGAGCGAACACAGAAGGACGGAAATGAATTTGTAAGGTCTTGTAAGAATGAGTGTCAAAAAGAAAATGAAAGTGGAATTGGAAATGAGCTTTGCCTCCTGTGGGATCCATGTGTCTGCGAAGGTTTTGTTAGTTACCGCCCTCCCCCCCTGCTCTCTCCTCTGCATGTTCTTCTCTTTCTTTTCCTCAGGTGGTCATGAGTCAGAGACTGGGCAGCAGCCTAAGGAGGAAAGTCAGTGAGACTGAAACACAGCTTTTGGCACTACATGAAGCCAAACTGGCAGCCATCTCAGGTAACTTTCCACTCAACCACACCCCACTACATCCCTGCTGCATTACCCTTTTTTTTATTTACCCCATTTACTTGGCTCACCCACCATTAGCCTCACTTAATTACGCTATTAATGATCAAGAAGCTCGTTAATGGACGTTGTAAGCATAATGTGCTCCTGTGGTGCACCGGTGCAGGTAATGACTTCAGCAGTGCTAAGGAACTGAAAGCAGAAATGAAGGCGGTGTACCTGGAGCGGGACCGACTTGAGGCTCTGGCCAAGAGGCTGCACAGCCTCAGCTCAGGGAGCAGCCAGGAGCTCGCCAGGATGAAGGAGCAGCGGCAGCAACTCAGACAGGAGCTGGAGCAGAGGGAGGCCCAGCATGGTGAGTGGCAGAGGCTACCCAGTATGACTGACAACATCAAACCCTTGTCTTTACTATTGTTTAATTAATATATAAATATACAACACTGTTACTTTATTCATTTTTTTTTCTACAAGGAGCAAGACTTTATCACAATTTTTAAAAAGTGGTCTCGAGCAATAGTTCTGCAGGTTTTTCTTTGGGCGTTGGCTGCTTTTTCCTTCATTTTCAGTCCAGTCCTTGTACCTGATCACTTAACACTGAACTACAAATCACTGAAGCATAAAAACTGTGCCTAACAGTGCAAAGGATGAACCATTGTTGTGCCTACACATAACAAACAACTTAGCATGAGAACACAGTTTGAAGGGCATAAAATAGTATTTCTGCACTAACAATTGAAATTGAAATTGAAATTTTTTTATTTTTATTTATTTTTTTAAATTTCAGTCAACAACAACAACAACAACAGATTATAATTTTACATAAAAGTACTCAAACAGTAACCGAAAAAGGAATAGGCTGAAGCCTTATGGCTTATACTTATCCTATCCCTTACCCCCATAGAAATAATCAAATCCTTAACCAAGAAAATAAATAACATTGATAAATAAGTTGTATAACAGTTTGAAAAGAAATCAATGATAAATCAAGAAATTAAATCAACACAAAAAAATGTTAACAAACCAAATTTCTATGACCTTGTATAATACTAATTTTTAAAATCTTCCTGAAGAATGACAAAGAAAAACACGTCGTCAGTTCATCATTAAGTCCATTCCATAATTTCACTCCCAAAACTGACACACATCTATACTTAACATTGGTTCTCATTTTAGGCATTTCAAACTTATAAGACCCCCTCAAATCATATTTTCCATCTCTTAGTTGAAACATACTTAAAATACAAATTGGAACATTCTTTTTCATCACACGATATATCATTTCTAAAGTTTTAGAATATATAATGTCCATGAATTTTAACATAGATGATCTTACAAAAAACTGGTTGGTGGACTCCCTATATCCAACTTTATTTATTATTCTAATAGCTCCTTTTTGCAATTTAAATATTGAATCCAAATATGTTTTGTATGTGTTCCCCCAAATTTCTGCACAGTAGGTCATATAAGGCAAACAAAGGGAAGTATACAATAAATAAAGGCAGTTCTTAGTCAAAAAATCTCTTGTTTTATAAAGAATAGAAATAGACTTTGAGAATTTTCGTTTCACATGTTCTATGTGGGGCTTCCAACAAAGTTTATCATCAATAATTACTCCTAAAAATTTTGTCTCATATACTCTTTCAATTTCAACATTATTTAAATTCAATTTTACTTTAATATTACTTTTACTACCTCCAAATAACATAAATTTTGTTTTACTTTCATTCAATGATAGTTTATTAAATACAAACCATCTATTTAACTTCATGAGTTCTGTTTCCACTGTTTTCAGTAATTTCTTTATGTCTTTTCCTGAGCAAAATAAGTTTGTATCATCAGCAAACATCACATATTTTAAAGATTCCCAAGAAGCCGTTAGCTGGAATCTTAGCATATTTCAGTATGCTGCTGGATAAAAGAAAGAATTAGGCATAAAAACTGTGTACAGTAGATGAACAGGATCTAAACACGTTATGTCCTTAGAAAAAGACCTGACACAGGACCTGTGAGGAACATCTGGCCCTTCAATTTATCCAGCTGCTGAAGCCTCATCAGAAATGGCCTCCATGAAAGGGTGGCTGTCAAGAGGAGGGAAACAGTCCAGCCAAACATTGACTTTCAGGCTTGTTAGAACTGTACAGAGTCTGTTTTGGGCTTATATTCTGTATTTCCATGTGTAGATTTCAATAAACTGCTGCATCTTTTGCCCATTATGGTATTACTTAAAAACCTATGTAGATATATGAATTTATATAATTTGTTGAGAAGATAAATCTCACACAGGTGAATATTAGCATACAGTTAGATTAATAAAATGTTCCTACTAGCTCCAGTAAGGCTCTACATGAAGCATAACTTCTTGTTTATTTTGTACCAAACTGAAATGTAAAAAATTACCATTCGGTTTAATGGGGGATTAAATCTGAAGTAGGGGCTAGATAGAAACCACTTTGGTTCCACACATAAAATTCCAGTTAATTTTATTTGCATATGCAGGATTCTGTGGCTCATAGTTGCAGCTTTTACAACAAAAAGTGTCCTGGTTAAATCGTTAGCACAAAAGAGTAAGAACTGTGCTAAATAAGCAACAGGTTTTTGGAGAAAAGCTCCAGAGTACACACTTATGACCATAAAATCTATATCGCAATTTTAGTTTTAGAATTCCTGAGGCGTGATTAACCACAAAACATCCAGTCAGTGAGCTCAGGAGTCACTTTCATGCTTCTTAAGAGGAAAAACCTTCGGTGTTAATAAAACTAAGAGCGCTGCTTGCTTAAATGAATCCTTTCCTCCAGCCCTCTATCAGAAACAAAAATGAATAAAACTGGTCGAAGGAACATATCGACATGTGTGTATTATAATTATGAAGCTAGTGTGAGCAGTATTTTTTTTTTAATACACAAAACTAACACATTGCTTTTCAAGTTGACATCATATTGTCATTCATTCAGATTATGTTTCTGGCCTTCAGCTAGCACAGCTGCCTGCCCTTAGGTGCTCGGCAGGTTGTGTACACTTTGCCTTCTATGATTTTTGGGGGTTTTTTTCGTTGCTGAGAACAGCTGTCTGCTGCATCTGGAAACAAGCCTGATTCGAGCAGCAAGAGTGAACGAAACCTGTACAATAAGACAAAAATCTGAAAAACTGTGAAAAAGCTCAAGAAACAAAAAGTCAGCTTAAGGGATGTTTGTGTAATAATTCTCTTTGGGACATTACATGTACACATTTGTTCCATTGTTAACATACAAACAGTTATTATAGTAGCTTAGAATAAACATTTTAAAGCATGAATATGAATAAGTGCAGCATTACCTGAAACAGCGCTGTTCTTTTTTTTCCCTGCCCACTGAGGCGTGAAAGCGTTTGTTGTGTACTTGAAAGGCGCCTCTCTTTTTCTTTGAATACACTTTTTAAATATCAGTTCAAAATGTGAATCATGAGAGCTCTTTGAAAGACAAGTCGCCTCTTGATGTTGCTCCACACTGTGAGAGGACATCAATGAACAATGACTTTTTCTCCCAAATGAAGCAAAAGTGATCTGCTGTCAGCGGGGGAATCGGCTTCAAACGAGTTACCAGCAAGGATTGGCAGTCGCGAAGAGGCGAGGTGGCGAGGGTGGTGCGAGGGAATTGAGCTTTAATTGTGTAAAGTTAGCCGGTTACCTTCGAGCCAGTGTGCGCAGACATGATGCATCAGCGTTCACACGCTCTCCAACTCGATTAAGATCTTAAGGAACGGGGGCTTGTCTTTTTAAATTTTTTTTAATTCTTTTTTTTAGGGTTCAGTCTTTAGATTGATTTGGCGTGTGGGCATTTGGTAGAGATCTAAATGGATTTTGACGGCACCACCTGCAGTGGTACTCTCTCTAGTCCATCAGTCACAGGGAGATTTCTAAAAAAGGTCACTTCCCTCACTGAGACACGCAGACGGGAGGATGAGGGGAGGACGGGAGAGGGGGGGTGGTGAAGTGATGGGGCTAGAGCAGGAAGTGAAGCGGCATCAGACTGAAGCTAACGCTACAACCTCCCATCTGCCATATGCTGTTACCCAGATCATAAAGATTTGTGGCTGGAGCTTCACATTTAATGCTATTGTCCTGTCCTGGATGCACCCTTTCCTGTCACTAGGGGGCACCCTTTTATTTTTGTACTCCATTGTTCAGGCTCAGTTGCATGAAGTTTTTAGGGGGTTGTATAGTAATGCATAGACTTGCTATTTTAGTACATCCAGTCTATAATTGTATATCATTATAGGAGAAAGCAGCTCTTTTCATTTCAAAGTGATTATGTTTCATCGACCTCCACTGGATTTTTGTTGTGGAAGCACACCCAAGAACACCTCGGTCTGCTTGACAGCCAGGGATAACACTGATCTCTTCCATGACAAGCATCACCACGTTCACCTCAGCAGCCTAAACGCAGCGTGCGTGTGTGCCTCATCTTGAATAATGTAGCTCTGCAGGCTGGGAAACCAGTGGTACGAAACTGCGGCGGCTAAACAAAGGATTTGGAGTCAGGTGGTAGCACGTCACAGAGAAGACGGCAAGTTAATGATTGGTTGCGCGGCGTGCTCAAACGCTCAAGTGGGCGCACACAATATGGCAGCAGGCGCAATTTCAAAATGTGTTGCTGACACCAAGCAAGGGGCTCATTAAACTGTCATCCTATTTGGTAATAAGGGGCTGGCACACACTTGCTGGAAACTGATAGCCCACCAACAGCACATTACCATTTCTTTAGCTGGAGGGGATTAGAAATTACTGTCTAAGTCAAAGCCAAGATGGCCATCCTTTTAGGTTTCCGAGGCATTTCTAGCACGCGCGCTTGTGGTATTAGTGTCATCCCGTACAAAGAAAACAGCATGCCCATTGTCATCGCGTGAGCTCCGAGGCAATGAATAGTCCTGCTGATGCCATGTAAAGATAGAAATTCATCAACAAGCTGAAGCCACACAGCTTCAGCTTGTTGAGTGCTTGCGGTGTGGGGGCTTTTTGGCCTGGGAGCCATTATGTCCCTAATTGCCGTTGGCACGTTTGCTGATGAATACCACAGCCATTATGGCCAGAGGTTTGATTCCCCGCTGAGAGTATAATTTTGTCCCCAAGAGAGATCTCGAGCGACGCTAAATTTACAAATAAATAATTGAAGAGCTGAATAAGATGCGTAAATGACCCCCAGTAGTGAGGACTTTCATATGGGGAAAGCTGCATCAGACTGTGCTCCTCTTCATTTAGCCAAGTAGTGTGGTAATGCCTGTTCACTGCCATTGTTACAATGCCAGCAGTTCTCTTGTTTTCTGCTTCACGCGGCTCAACTGGAACCCATTTAATTACTGTACCAGCTATTGTTTCTCCATACAGCTCCTGTTGCTCGTGCCGTAGTTTAAAGCCAGTCAGTTCGAACCCAACTGTGCGGTGCTAGTCGGATTTAAGTGCACATCAATACAAGTCACTCTGTGTTATTAGACAAATGCAATTTTCTCTTACAGTAAAGGCGAGGACACATATGATTTATTCATAGCTCTGGCTCTTTTAGGGTGCTTCTGTTAAGAACATGATGGAATGTGTGACAGCTCTTCTCTGAAGAGCATCTGAGTGATTGAGAGCGGCACGGTGGTTAAGTGGACTTGGGGGGGGGGGGGAAGGATGTTTTTTGGTCTTTGTCTCTGAAGTTTCAGCAATATTGAGTATTTTTTTCTTCCTGTCATTCCATTATGAATTTATCATTGAAAGAATTACTGCAAAAACACAATTGACTGAGGTACCACTCCAATCAGGCTCCGTCAATCAATCAATCAGGTCTTTTCTTCAATTACATACCGCTGAAACAAATGTTTTATATCCCTACTGTGCCTTCCTTCTCTTCTACGTGCACTGCAAACACGGTAAAGCTCAAAAAATGTTGCAGCTGTTTGGTTTGGGATGTAACGCCAGACTGTCAGTCCACCACACTGGCTCACACTGAAAGCAGCCGACTTTCCATCTTGTGGAATTACTTGGTATTTCTGTAATATTGTATTTTTAATTTCCCCTAAAACGACTGGAGTTTCTAAGTATATTTATCTCATGAGCCACAAATTTGCAGCTAAACGAAAACACCAGAGTAAGATGATATATTGCTCGCATATACAAGTGGGAGATGATGGGGGGGGAAGATGCATTTTAGTGAAAATGTACTAACCCGGAGTTCCAAGAGGAAACCCGGGGAATAATAGGATGCATGTTTAATGGGGCGGGATTGTTGAGCTGGTGAAGCGTTGAGAGTGCTCTGCACTTTTTTGGGAGACTTCCTCATTGCCGAGGAATGTTGATTCTTGGATTCAGTTGTCAAAAACAAAAAATATATTTGCAGCTTGCTTCAGTAGAAATATAGTTTAGAGCCTCTTCTAAACAGTTTCTATTTACTGACATACAATGACAGTGAGCATTTCTTAAGATTTCAGCTGAGCAGTTTAGCACCCATCACTTAAAAAAGACCAAAACACAACCCAACTACAGTTTTGCACACAGCCAATTACTTGTCAAGTGATTCTTTTTGTTGTGCATTCAAGCACAACCCAACAATATGCTCCGCTATGCCAGCTGCAATCTGTGCATGCTACAGCTAGAGCATCATGGGTGATTGAGCGTCTGTCCTATATCAGGCTGTCCCTCCGTCAGCTCTGCTGCTGTTAGGTTCAGGTATATATGGTGGGAGTGGCTCCATATGCCTACTGCGTGTTTGTGTTTTACCTGCAGCGCTGTCACACTCAGACAGACCTAGCCAAGCTTAAACACATTCATCACAGTCAGTGCCTTCAGCTCAATTACAGACACACAGTTTTGTCTTCTGCCTTATTATTGCACAGGCTTTTATAACAAGCATGTCACCGGTGCTCTGTTAGCGCAGAGCTGCCTCTAATTTGTTTGACAACAAGAAGGCCTCACAGACGTTTGGGTGCTTTTGTTGTTAAGGCGCTGAAGAAATGACCGCATTATTCACTTAGAGTTGGAGAGCTCTTTGAATGCTCGTGATGCAGGAGGCACTGAAAACACCTTGCCTATATTAACCTTTTTCTATAAAACCCATAACTGTGATTGAGTTTTGAAATTTTAAGTTCTGTCTATTATTGAATATTCTCTGCTTGACTTTTGGTTTCACCATGTTTCTATTCTTAGCTTTTCTTAGTTTTATTTTCATCATATTTTGTAGCCTAGTTATTGTTAATATTTATGGACATGATTTATAGGTGACTCCTGGAGTTTCAGTTTATTCTTTTTCCTCTCTGGATAAGTCTCCATCTCTGTTTGGTGATGTCCTGTTTTACTTTGTTCATCTCTTATTTGTGTGCATTGTATTTAGTTTTATCCTGTTTCATTAGTCACTGACTAATTTCAGCTGTGTCTTGTCACCCTGGCGTTTCCGATTTTCCTAATTCCCTGTGTCTATTTAAAGCCTCAGTTTGTTTTAGTTCTCTGTTGTGTCATGCTGTTGGACTGCAGACTTCCTCTTGTGTTTTCTGGTCTGCGTGTCTGTTTGTTTTACCAGGCCTTGGATTATGTGCTCCACCTAAATAAAAAGTCTTTTTTTTGTGTTTCCTGAGCTCATTCTACTCTTTGGGTCCCTTATCAGGACACACTGACAGAAACTTTGTCTTTGTAAACTCTGCTACAGTTGTGACATCCTGCTTCATAGGTTTGTCTGTCACATCAGAGTTTGTAACCATCAGACTCGTCTTTTTCTGTCTTAGAGTGTTAGAGCTATTTAGCTGAAGCAATTTAGCTTCGATTAGTCTAACAAATTCTGATTCATATATAAAGCAAATGACATTGTCGCAGCACCCAGTAACCCATTCTCCACATCCTTCAATGGTGTCTCAGTTCTGCTTGCGTTATGAATGAATGGCCTTTTCGATTTTGGCCGGGGTCCTTGACAGCAATCAGTGATGTTTAATGCCTGCTGAGATCACTAGTGTGAAGGGAGTCTGAGCTCATGAATTTCCGATGTGGGCTCTGTGAACGCCTTTGTGAAGTTCCTTCAACACCAAATATGCCACGGCACGCATCAGGGAGTAACAGAGCGACTGTCTTCTTTATGGGCTTTTTAGTGCCGATTTTATTCGCATTGCCTGCCCATGACAGCAGCCTCCCGCAGTCTTACAGGAAGTGGTAATATCACCCAGTGCTCTGGTTCCACTCTGCGCAGGAGGAGGCTCTGCCGCTTGATTTCTCGTCCCATTCTATAAAAAAAAGATTATTTTTATCTGTCACGCCTGAAAAACCGCCGTAGTTTTACCACTGGTTGGCATGGCGACAGGACGGCGCACTCTCCTCTGTGTATAGCATGGCAAGAAATATTAAGTAAACAGTTAATGCACTTGTGTGTCAATCTCCCACCTTCATCTGTTTCTATCCGTCTTGCTGTTGTTCAAGCTGTAGCTCAGTTTGGCAACTCGCTCTCTGCCAGCTAAAGTCAGGCTTAATGCCCTCCATGTATTATTCAGCGGCTATCTGCTTGCAAGCTGCTTAACAGAGCCAGCGTGAATGGAAGTTGATAGGGGAAGCTCTATCAGGTAGGATAAGATCTCACGTGGCAATTAGAGGGTTGGTAAGTGAGCTGTCTGGTCCACATACAGCAGATATGTGATAGCTTCTCCAGCGGCCTCTGATTGCACAGATTTGGCCACTTTGACTGAAACGAGTAACATCCCTTCCTGTGACTCCCACATTCAAGCCCCCATAAATAACCCAACTAGCTCCATCTCAGCTCTTCCTTCAAGTACAGACAGGAGTGTGTGTGTGTGTGTGTGTGCAAGAGTGTGGAAAGTGTTTGTCACGCTACTGTCGCTGACATTTTCCTTTTCTTCCTGCTGTGCCTGGCCCCGAGAATATGTCACCCCCAAGCTGATGCTGTCTATTAACCACCATCAAGACAATGATGCAAATTGTATTTCAATCCGCAGACTTTGTCTCTGTGTGAGCAGCCTAAGCGGCATCACAAAACATAACAGTTTCCCAATTGTTTTTGGCTTTCCTAGTTCTTCATTAAAGTTTGTATTTTAAGTAGGAGTATGCACTCATGTAAAATATAATCGTACTCACTTTAAAAAAATTGTTTTTTACCAAATGTTAGATGAAAGTTTTACACCATCTGTTCTGTATTCAGTATTTTACTATTTTTCTAGACAATAGCTTCCACTTAGAGTAGCCTCATTATTATTGTCTTGCAGTGTCTGTGATCCTTTGACTCCAAGGTGGGAACCAGTGCTCCCTGGTTCCAATGGATTGTTGAGAATGTACAAATGTATAGGAATAGCTATGTTTTACTGAGGAAGGTTTGGATTGTATGTTATAACTCGGGTCTATATGTCTATAGATAAATATAGATAGCATCTATGTTTCCTATTCCTATTGTGCTCAAGGATTGGAAGCTCCTATGGGCAGGGCATATTCTCATGTTTCATACATGAGCTCATTAACGCAGCTCAGTCCTCCTCTCCATCCTGACTACTGCTCAACCAGCCTCCTCAGGCACAACTCACTGCTGGCAGAAGGGCACAGGAAGCAACATAAGCAATCCATCCAACTTCATGCCCCACAGAAAATCTGGCAAGATATAAAGAACTATGCCATGATAAAATCCCCTTTTATCCTTGGGCCATCTACAGTTTTATCCCCTCTGAGAGCAGAGGCAGTGATCTCTCCTCATTTGTGTGTTTGTGTTAAGAGAAAGCCAGCTGCTCCTCTAAAGTGAAGTGTACTGTTGCAGTTTCTCTGCACAATGCCGTCACCAAGTGATGACAACTAACTTTTCTAACACGTATATCATAGCTATTGATGCGTCAGTGTTAACAGTATTAGAGGTAATGTGCTGTCGTTCTCTTTGTTCTTTTTTTCTCACTCAGAAAGCCGCCTGAAAGAGAACACCAGCAAGTATATTGAACTACTGGAGGACCGATTGCACAGGTAAGGCTTGTCTGTGCTCTCTGCTTCTTTTTAATACAGACGCGAAGACTCTGTGTTCCTCAGACTAATAAACAAGGAGACATATATAAAGCAGAAACCTCCAAGGAATTTCCTCTCACTCCTGCTGTCCTCTAACCAGAGCAACGTCTCCTCAGTGCATCACATCACCTACCACATCATGCTCTCACACCTTTTTTCATACGCCGTTGTCTCCTAGAGCCCCTTCTCACATTGCAGTCTGTCTCTCACCTACACAATTTGTCTTCCTCTTCCCACCTTCTCACATACCTTTTGTACCTTTTTTTTAGGCTTTGACATCAACTCATCTCCCACCTTTCCGATCTTCCTGTGTGTAAACCATTTTAGACAAAACAATATCTTTCTTCTGACTGGTTCATTGTTTCCGTCTGCGAACTCAGAGGTTCTAAATCGCAAAGGACAAGTCGTGTTACGGGTTGCTAGGGCTGCTCGATTATGGCAAAAATGATAATCACAATTATCTTCACTGAAATTGAAATCACGATTATTTGACGATATTTATTTAAGCCTTTAAGACCTACCATAGAACCAAGTCCGCCAGAGCTTATATTATTTTTTTTACATGCTGTAGTGCCATTTGTGGGAGCATTTCAAGTTGCTATACAACTATTATAGCCCATATTTTAATAATATGTATGCATTAAGTCCATAGTAACTACATTAATTGCAAAAAAGTGCAATAAACTACAAAACAAATTGAAAATGTTTTTTTTTTTTTTTTACATATATTTCTACTTGGAGAAATTTAAGAGGTTTATCCCCCAAAACTTTAAATACAAAAATGTTGCAAACAATAGTTTACAACAACAGGAAATTTATTTTGAGTGTCTTCATAGTTTTATTTTGGAGATACACCAATTTTTATATACTGCAGGAAAAACGAAAAAAGCAATCCTATGATGCAAATTTGCAAAGAAAACAGCGTGTGCATCAAAATAAACTATTTCCAGCAGTGCAATTCGAGTTCTAAGCATCCCAGAAACTATTCAGAAAAGTCAAACATGACTTATAAAACACCAGTATAGGCTTTTAAGGCCTACAAGTAAAAAGCTACATTTCCCGCGAGAATGACGTCATTTCCGGTTTCGGGCAGGAAATGCGATAGTTCGCGCTGACGTCTTTTTCAATGTGGGAAGTGTTACGAACAGCTGATCGGATCGGCAAAGCGTGTTTCTGGAATATTATGTTTTTGTTCCTGCAAGGCTTTTTATGCAATTTTTACAAAGCTATATGTGGAAGGAAACCGTGACCTAGGACAAGCTGATGGCATAAGATGTAATTACAACTCCTCTGGTTTCATATGCAAAACAAATTATTGTGCTAGCTTACACGGTTCAGGTTCTTCAGGGATTTAAAAATAGTTACACAAAACGGAGCGTGCAGCTCTGACCGGCTTTAAAGGGTTAACAATAACAATGTATTGAATAATGACTTTAAAAAATAATATAAAACAGTGTGCAAATACTGATAACAGTGCAAATGTTTGCAATATAAAAAATAAATGAAAAATGTAAACATCTATGTTTAGTGAACTTTGCAGTGTTGCTCTGTGGTGCAGCTACGACACTGTAGCAAAGTTTACACACTATGTCTACTTGATCCACGTCTGACTCCGCCAACCCATAATGTTTCCACACCACTGAAGTTTTTTTTTTACTTCTCTTTTCAACCAACGGCAGTCACTCTCCTCTCCAAACAACTTCTGCTTAGCTTTCCGAGCTTCCCTCGGGTCCTCTTAATTGTTGTGACGCGTGTTCGAAATGGAGAGCGGTGCGCTTGATTTATCACATGGAGCAGCGCGAGAGTAAAGCATGAGGGAGGGGCTAATAATCGGCTCAGTCATTTTTAATGATCGTTGAAAGCCCAGATCGTAATCGTGATTAAAATTCGATTAATTGAGCAGTCCTACGGGTTGCCACCCATCTCACCTGACTTGAGGAGTGAGCTGAGGAGGTGAGAGTGTGGATCCTGGTGAGCATTTGAGTCCATACAGATGCTTGTGCTTCTTTTATAGTTCAATCACCAGATGGATAGACTCTTTGGCAGACAAACAGCGACTGGCTCTTATTCTACAGGTTGTTGGAGCAATTTTTTTTTTACAGATGGATAAATATAGCCGGTAATGATTTTGTGCACCACATATGAGCTGTTTTTTCCACTCAGTCTATTCTTGTTGTGTTCAGAAGAGAAGAGGTTAGGTGGTATGGGTTTACTTTGAGCTTGCAAAAGCCTTTATTATCACAGACCCTGTTTGTCTACTTGACCTTTGTCTCTGTTTGTGGTGTGTGTAGGGGGGCACAGCTTTGTGTGTTGCATCCTTGGAGAGGCAGGGTCACCTCTTTGGATGAGAGCCAGGACTCAGTGACATACTGCAGGGCTCTTGCTTGTTGAAGGATGCACAGACTGGGGGTCTGAATGGTCAAGGAGCAACATGGTTGCGATCTCAGCGCCCAGCAGGGAATCGTGCCTCAGGACCATCGCTGTCAATAGGGCAGATGGCTGCTTTGTGTTTTGTTTGTATGATGGCAACACTTCTGAGTTTCTAGCAGAGGCATTTGTCAGAGTATTTTAGAGAATGGGATGAATCGCTGCCTAAATATAAAGGACAAAAGAAGGCAAAACATTTGTAGAGGGCTAGGCGCATAGACACGCACACAACAGATGACAAGCAGCCTACGTAGGATACTATCAAACACAGAAACTGCATAATGAAAGTGTGACACGTTAAAAATATCATCTAAAAACAAGAACTAAATTTAAGACTGAGCATAAAAATGCCGGATGTTACAATACAACGTCTCAGTGGTATCACCAGTGGAGACCTTCTCTGTCTGTCACCGACAGGCCTTCTGTTAGGAAAGTCTCCGAGCTTAACCTGAGATAACCCTGATGAAACTGACAAGGTTATATATTAAAGTTCTTCAGTGAGCTACAGAAAATGTTATAATAATATAAAACCTTTTCCACAGGCTGTGCTGCTCCTCACAGCAACTAAATGATTCTTCACACGTGTGCCCCATTAAACAGCTATAAAAACATCTATAAAATGTTTAAGTCTAAAATCTCCTTTTAATTTTCTTTTACGCAAACCATCTGAGATTACAAATCCTGAAAGGTTAGTACTGCTCCCCGAGGAAACCATCATTAACTACTATTACCAGTAAAACTGGTTTGCAGTGGAGCTGCTATATACTGTGTTCCTGTTTGAACACAGTATATAGTTCCTTTGCTACGAGGGCAGATGATTACATACTGTAAATCATAAGTATTTCCCCCACAGACTCTGCAAAGGGAGGATGTAGACACTATGACCTCAGACACTGATCAGTGAATTGCTTCGAATCCTCATGTTTGGTGTTATTTTTCATAAGCGAGGGGTGAATCCGACTGAGACACAGAGGATGCTGCTCGGTTGTATGAAAGTGAATTGTACATCACAAGAAGTACAAGTTGCCCTACTTGGACTTTTCCCCCAAAGACTTCTTTACTATTGAAGAGTCACCCCCTTCCTGCCATTAGAAAGAGTGCAGATCTGAGACACTTGTGCATGCATCCTTACATCCCTCTTCCTAACTACTTATTTAACTCCATGACTTCCACACTGGCTTCAATTTTCAGAGCCGGGTCAATGATATAGTCACATCACTCTGAAAAAAGAGAATTTCCATTCAAGGACACCTTCTTGGGTGACTGTAAACTAATTTTCTCGGCCATCACATTCTATATTAAATGATTGGCTCTTCAGCCTTAGATCGGCCTCCATGACCAGAGGCGGTCTAGATAAATTCACAAATATAGCTCTGATTTATGGCGTACACCAGTCCCTTCCACCAGCTCCCGCTTGGCACAGTGACACATATTTGCCTTGATTGAATGTGCAGTTTTCCCCACATGTGCATACACCACTAACCCACGCACGCACACACACACACACACACACACACACAGATGCACACATGCACTCATCATCCACTGTAAATGTTATCAGTCAGCTCTAATGTACATTACCATTGATAGAGTACCGTGGTGATGAGAAGTGAGGAGAGGAGGAGGGGAGAAGGGTGGAGAGAGGCAGATTAGTGTGCTGAGATGTCTGGTCTCCGTGGAGACGGATGGTGTTGAAAAAACCAATTATCTTTTCCTTGCTAAAGACTAGAACAGGATGTTAGAACAGCGCAGATGCTGTAAGTGTGTCATCAGAATAAAAAACATTTTATTCAGATTAGCAGCACCACACAGTTGTTTAATACATTTATGCAGATGTTTCATTAGGAAATGCTTCTCGTTTTTGTCCCTCATTTATATATTCATTCTCCTGTAGAGATTTGAGCCGCATATATCATACGCGACGGATACTGGCACAGAAGCCATTAAATGCTGAGATGTATAGTTAAATTGAAGATGCTCTATGAAAATCTAAATGAGAAAAAACTGGGATAAAATGTGCTCCTCTCTTACTTTTAATATACAAATTCTTGAATCCACTTTTTTTTTAAAAGTGTTTGGAACACTTAAGCTGGATTTGCCCATCTGGCTCCTGTAAAAACCTCCTCTAGTCATCCACCAAACAAACCCCTCCCAGTCCTCCATCTATCACACCTCTATCGCTATATTATTAACACCTCTCCACAGCTGGTGTTATTTGTGAGGCTAATGTTAAGGCGAAACATTATCACATCTCCTTTCCTTTCTATTGTGTGAAGTCTTATTTTATAGCTTTTAGGTTTTCTTCAAAAAACAAAAATGCATCAATGATTATATTTCCTTTCTCTCACTTTTCTAAAACAACCAAAAAAGGTGTTCATTTTACCCAGAATATGATTTTTATGTAACAATGAACTATGACTCAAAATCTGAGAAAATATTTCATGCTCTGAACCCGATAACCATAGACTGTATATAAAAGATGGTCTCCGCCACTCCGACTCACGTGTTTTGGACTCCCTTTTTTAAAAGTCAAATTTATCATTTTGACTTAAGTCATGTTAATATTTTCAGAGGGAGAAGTGACTGTATTTTTACAAGAGGGTGAAGTTATAACTTACCAACTAAAGCACCTAACTTAGTTAGCGTGCTGAATTCATAGACCACATGGGTGCATCGCCCAGACACTGCAAAGGGTTGTAGCCCATTTATGGAAGATTTGCAGTACATACACTGCCTATGGTACCAACAATACTAAAAAAAATAAAACAAGTCCTCTTGGTATTAAAGGTATTGTAAATGGCAGTTCTGGTGACATCTCTACAGTTAATAAAGCACAACAAACCGTGTTAATTGTCAATATTAGATTTTTAAGTCGGATGAGGATATTTGGCAATTTAAAAATATACTGTATACTGTATAGTATACAGGCTTATATATCCTTCAAACACTTGACAGATAAATAGATTTCTTCAACATTTGTTAGTTGTTATATGTAGTCATTTATGATTTCTTACTAAGATTATATGACACTGCAGTTTAAAAATAATCCTGTTTTATTGTCACAGCAGGTTGTGTAGCGTACACTGGACTCCGATTAGCTGGCTCTTACGTTTGTGCCGTTCCAAACATTTGTGTTGGGTGAATCATACAACGCCCTCTGGTGGACAAACTATGTAATGTCAACACTCATAACATAATTCAAATGCGTTCCTCCGGTCTCTTCTTTACTTGTTAAATTTTCATTTACCGTCCATTATAAATTTGCTGATACTGACAGACTGGCCAATTACTAATGTCAGTTAGTAGTGCACTAAAAATGACCTACTCCTCAAACAACACTCATAAAGAATATGGTGAAGGAGGTGTTGTTTTTTATGTTATGTTTCTGTACTTAATTCTTTATTTTCTTCAGGTCTGTTTATGCTTTTCCAGTTTGTATGCTAGCTGTTGGCTTTCTTAGCCAGGAAACTTTTGTAAAAGAGATTTTTAAATCTCTTAAAGTCCAACTTTACTGGTTAAATGAAAGATAAATAAAAAACAAAACAAAAAAAGGATTAAAAAAAAAATGGTCAAAAGGTCCAGTTCAGTGACTTGCATTGGCTGAGGTAGCACCTAGTAGACAGCTACCAGTTACAGCTCACTGCTTTGGTAGTCAAAGCATGTAATATAATTCATAACATTAAGTTTTAATATTATTTAACGTTGAGTTAAATTCACAAAACCTATAGGGACAAAACAAAATAAAACTTGTTTTTTTTTCCTGGCTGTAAATAAGGTTATTTCTGCTGTGAAGTTGGACATTTTAACACGGGAGTCAAGGGGATTGACTTGCTTTTGGAGCCAGCATCGAGTGGTCATTTCAGGATATGCAGCTTTTGGCACTTGGTTGTTGGCTTCACTTTTCAGCCCTGGGAAGTTTTTGAATGATGGTCAGACTGGATGTGAACCCATAATGTGCCTCTTCTCTCTTGAGACGTCTAACTGAACCCGCTGGTACCTGCAGGACCCGATCACTGCCCCGTCGTTTAAAAGTTCCAGCAGATTTATAACCCTTCCTCAGCAGCAGTCTGGATTGAATGCCTTGAGGGGAAACAGGAGTCCTGCCAGTCAGTAGTCCCACAGGGAAGCGAAGATACTATAGAAAGAGAGTGTGCCTGTCTGTTTCTCCTCCTTATTACTGGGCCATCAGCAGCACAGCACGCCCACACCCTGCCGCTGTCAGATGGCAGTCGGAGCGGCTGCCACCAATTAACCCGTGGGCGACGAGTTCATACCAGCGGGCACCAGGACGCCACCATCACAGGGATGCTTAGGCGCTAACATGTTGTCTGAATTTTCAGCAGACAGAGCCCTAATGCCAGCGCCAGTTGTTTGTAATGAATTGTGGTTGACACTGAAGAGAAGCCGCTTTGATCGATGTGGCCAGCTTTGACATTTTTAGAAGAATTTATGATTTTTATCCCCACAGAGAGTGATTTATGGGCATGTAAGTTAACACATGTGTGCTCACCCATATCTGTGTGTTGCATGTGTTCCTCTCCACTTCGGAAGAGACAAAAAACAATGGCACGGCTCATTGGGTGCATCCCCACCGTAGCAGAATTCAGAGGCAGCGAATTGGTGATGGCGGGGTGGGGGTGGAGGTGGGGGACTGGGCTGAGCAATTTTTCTATTGTCTGTCTGCCAAATGAAGGTTAGAGAACGACTGAGAGGCGTGCGTTGGCAGGGTACAGAGGTTGGCAGCCCTTTCAGGCAGGAGATGGGCTGGAAAACAAGTGGCATTCAATTTTGGGGATTTTTTTTGGGCGGGTGATTCAACCCTGAGAGAGAGAAGAATGAACAGATTGAGAGATTAAACAATGTCATCTGGGTGCATTTTGCCTTTGAGTTTGTTTATATATCACGGAGAATGAGCCACTGTGCACTTTTCAGGTGAAAATACTATTTTATAAGGGTTTGCATGTGAGTTCAGCAAATGACATTGCTGTATTTTCTACCATTGTGAGTCAATCATTTTCAGTTTATGTCTGTGACAGAGTATTTCCTCCTAGGTTGGAATTTGGCATGTGAAGACAGACAGAGGACATTTCTTCCTTTAAGAGATTTGATAAGTCTCCTATAAAGCCATCATCGTCTTCCCTGCATCCTGTCAGCTTTAGTTTGATTTTTCTACATGACATGGATTCACAAAAACAAAGTTGGTGTTAGTTAGTGTGGAAACTGTTGCCTTTTGTGTTTGGTCTAAAAGCCCTAAAATCTATTAAAGGCTCAGAGATCACGGTCATTTGTGAATGTTTAGTTATCTAAAGGTTGCTGAAAGGAGAAGGTCAATAAACAAGAAGATTTTAAAGGTCAGAAGGCCTCAATTGTGACTCAGTGAAGGAGCATTTTATTTAAAGGAAATGGAAAATGGTTTCTGAAAATAAAAAGATCAATGCTTCAATCCTCACAGAGGCAGCGTCTCTCAATCAAGGAATCTCTGTATGTGTGTCTGGTTTTCTTGATAAAAAGTGTATTTGATTGTTTTGATGTAGTGTATGAGGTAATCTGGATGAAGTGTGGTGTCATTTTGGGCATTTTCCCCAAGTTTATATATATATAGAAACCTCTGCTTGTCGTGACATTTACCTTTGCTTGTTTTGTGTGATCAGCTTAACCTAAATAATGGAACAATGAGATAAAAGTCAGTAACGGTGTAACTCATTTTTAAGTATATACGATCCATTTTTACCTGCTTTAATTAGTTTCTGCTGGGATCTGAGATCCTGCAAAGGTCTGGGAAAAAGGAGTGAAGAAGGCTGACTGATCATAACTCAATAGGTAGATAAAACAATCTCCTTGCCCTCCCAGTGAACTCGTACTCAGTGACCCCAGGAGAAACGAACGCATCCACACCCTCTTTTGAGTAAAGGGCATCCTTTCAGGAGGAATATCGCTCTTGTTACATTTTGTGAATGGAATTTTATTCTTTGAATGATTCACTTCTCATCTGTCACTCAGAGGTTTATGTGCTTTATTTGAAGAGATGCTGCTGTACCTGTATAATAGGAATGTCAAACTTGCTGGACAATGTGGGCCAAATACAGCCCAGTATGACCTTAAGTGCGCCAGACCAGTGACATGCCCCCTTTCTGTCAGTGTAAAGAAGTTTAACTGCACACTTAATCCCTGAGATATGTTAGTATTAGAAAAAAGCAGTGCAATTTCAAAAGTACATATCAGTATTGCTGCATAACAGAGAGATGCTGCTCTTTTAAATGAAAGAAATCTGTTTTCTTTTTACTTTTTGGGGCATAAATTGTAAGAAATAAATGTGTAAAATTGTAAAAACAAGATGTTTCTGTAGTGCTGAAAAAAAGGTCCTTATCAGTAGAAAAAGCCATAAAACCTTTAAAAAAGTTAAAGGGACAAGTCCAAAATTTATGAGTGTTTGCAGGGTGGATTTTAGCCCCTGGGCCTTATGTTTGACACATGCCTCTGCGGTGACACGAGTGATGTGCATCAATGTATTTTCAGTTTTTAGTGTTACTTTGACATTCTTTTATAGCACACTACATTTTATTTAATAGCTTAACATATAAGATTGTATTTATATGTTGTAGTACATTTTTAAAATTTCACATCACTGAATAACATAAAAGAACATACCTGATGTTAGTTTTCCTTCAGCATGCAGACAGCTCCAGATAGCTCTGCTGCTAAAGCCTGTTCTGACCACTTGGACTTTTATGATTTAAATACTGATCTCAAACTTGCACTGAGAACAAACATCAAGTTCTCTATCAGAATGCATAACATACTTGTCTCCTTCCCTTGCTAGTTATGGGTCTCCCAGCTTGGAGCGAATCTGGGAAGCCGACCTGGAAGCGTGTCACCTTTTCCTGCGAGGTCTCCAGTTGCGGACTCCCAGCTGCAGTGGAGCAGACATCGAAGACTTCCCCACTGCAACAGTTTATCCTCCATCCCAGCCAGGCACCAAAGAGGAAGAGGACTGTGCCATGCTGACTGCTTTAGGAGGGCGATGGTGTCCTGAGGCCAACTTACAGAACTCAGAGTTCACTAAGGTAACAGCAAATTGTCTTGTGAAGAGCACACTATGTATAATTCATCTAAACACCTCCGTATAAATGCTGGAATGCTTGACAAAGGCTGGGATTTAGTCTCTTGAATACGAAGGCTTCCCAAGTGACACTTTCAAGCGCTGAGGTCTTACATATTTTCTGCACATAACCCATATTTGCCACTGAAAGGTCAAATGAGAACAGCGTGCTTTCAGAAATACTTGCTGTTCTTTACTGTGCTGTGAAATGTAACCTCAAAAAAAAAAAAATCTTCCTGCTCTGTCAGCCTTAGCGCTTGGCTGGAGAGGACAGCTTCAGTTTGTGCATGGAGCCATTGTGAGAGTCTGAGATTCTGCCGACTGCAGTGAGATGAGCAGCAGTCAGTTAGCGCGTTTGCTCGAAGGTATTTCTAAACGAGGAAAATGTGGGCGTGAGGGGGGCAACCGTTTGGAAATACTTTGACTTCCTGATTAAATGCTTTAGTGGGCATGCATGTGTATGTATGTGCGCATGTACATGTGTGAGTGTGAATTCTCTGTGGCGGTCTGTCCCACAGTGAGCTGAGGTCCACTGCCTCAGGGCCGAGTCCGACTCATTCTCTCCTCTTCTCACACTTTCCTCCACCCACGGAGTCTGACTAGTGTGAGATAGGAACAAAGCCAACAGATCCAGCACTGTGTGTGTA